CTGCACTATATAACTGTATGCCACTGTCAAAATGCAAAAGATAGGTGGATAAGTAAACACTACTAAATGGGATACGACAGCATTATCCTTCCCCTGTAATTGGAATGAGGCTGCTCTGATCTACAACTGTGATGGGAGTTTACAATATCGCTAAAAGTGTACCGCAGTGCTAAAGCTTATACACATATCTAGTATGCACGTGACAGTTGCTATAGTAAGGTCGCCTGAAACAACCTCCGTGTTGCACACAAGATAACTAGCAACTGCAATGCATCAAGTGGTTCATCACATGGACAGTGCCCATTACACGGAGAGTGTCTGCGCTACATCCCTCCTAACAGCGGCTGGTGGCAGCATGGAAGCTCATCTTGTCATGCTCTCATGAAAGAGAAACTGTCCTCAGACATATCCATAAACTTAGGACGTAGACAAGTTTTACAGTACAGGGGAGAGGAAATCCTTTTGCCTCACTCAATACTCCCATTAATTCCACAGCTTGTGTTTTGGTATGATTTATAATATATTTGTAATTTCTTACTGGCACCCCCAATTTGAGTACTTTTCTGATAGGGTGTGACTGCAGAAAAGAGCACCTGGCCCTCCCTGATATGATTTGCATGCCTCAATTTAAACTCTGTCTGCGGTACAGAAACAGTGCCCACAACCTGAAACCGCATCCCTGTTTAATATGTATATGGGGGGGAGGGGCTATGTCAGGATCCTTTCCTTCTTCCCCTTCTAAGCTAGGAGGTATGTCTGCCCTTTAGTCGCTTCAGCTTTTACATGCAAAGAGCAGCAGCAGGAGCTACATCCGAAAGGGAACAGAAGAGATCAAGTCCCAGAGAACAAGTCATATCCTCATATCTATTCTTCCTCTGGTTCCAGCCCCAGCTGCTGCTGGTGTCAGCTGAGGAGAGAGATTTTCCTGCCTTCGTTGGTGCACCCCTCGCCATCCCCTGCACCTGACCCCCCCCCATCTCTTCTGATACATAGGCAGAGTTTCATCCCTTGAAGCCAATGGTGTGACTTAACTTTATAATCCTAACACTACAACCACATGGAGGCTGAGGATGGGAATGGATGCCAGTATTAGTACAGCACAACAACCTCAGTATTTGAGCATGACTTTGATCCTGCTTCGGCGGGGAGGGTGGGGTATAAATTGGATGGATAAAATAAAAATAATAAAGACCACTAAAACTAGGGGGGGGGGGAATCAACAGACTTTACTTCTTTGCAAAAGAGGTAAATTCGGAAGTAAGCCTATAAAAAGTCTAATTTGCAAGAAATGCCTTCTCACTTCTGCATTAATTATTCCTTCAGACAGCAAGCATACTGTTTATCATACCTATCTTTCTGTATGCCGTCAAAAACAGCATGGTCTTGTTGGATCTCGCTATTGTTTAAGTATGTCAAATCAAGCACACCCAGGATGGTTTGTTCAGCTTTATCAATTACTTGTGCCAAGGCACAAGAAACATTCAACTCTGTGTTTCCAGCAACAAATACCCTGTCTCCTTCCCAAACCACAGTGCATTTCTCTAAATGTGCATGTACTGCTGTGCAATATGCGTGTGCATGCATTCTACTCACATGCTCTGTATTCATTACTCTTTTGCCTGTACCATTCCCTGTGATTCTGAAATTTGTCTGGATGTCACACATGCAAACTGTTAAATATATGAGACCTCTCTCCAAGGACCTTATTATGAAAACCATATGAAACAACTGAGCAGGACCCAGGAAGGAAGAAAAGTGGAGGAGGACCCAGAACCAGGCTGGATCCTACACACACTTTGAGATAGTTGTAAGTGGTTTGGCAAGTGGGGGGGACACTAATATTCTTTAGGAATGGGTTATGAATGAGGACCACTGACTCCTTAACAGTCATCGATTCCAAAATCTAAACCATATTGATGCGGTTTTGTTTTCAAGTCACATGCACTCATGCATTTTTGAAGCATGAAAATTTGGCACACGTGCACACATATCTGTCCATGAACTGAAGCACACAGGGTGAATAAGCTTTGCACAGCCCTTACCTCCTATCAAGACCTAAAACCCACTTCAGATTATTCTGAATGACAGGCACCTTTACTCCCCAAAGATGCTGTACAAGATACTGTAGCAACACTTTCCTCCAACAGGGAAAAGACTTGTGCAAGGAGATTTCTTTTAATAAACACCCATGTCTTATGTACAGAGATTTAAAAACCCAGGTATCTGGTTGTTCAAGTGCTCAGAAATCAGACTGGAGCAAGACCAATGTCTTCAAAATTTGAATCTGTGCAATGCCAAGCCCCAGCAGAGCAAGCCCTAGCATTAGGGGCATCTTGAACTAAAACTTAGTGTCAATCAGGAATTTGGTACATTGCATTTCGTTATCAGCAAAGACATTTTAAACAATCCTATCCCCACGTTACGGACAAAATAAAGCCACTCGTCGTGAGGCTGCGGTATAAATGTTCAGTGCTGATGTAACGAGTGGCATCATCCAGAATGACCTTCAGAGTGGCTATGGCAACTCAGCTCATTCTACATCTCATAGCAGGAAACCTTGGCTCTATGATCCCGTTTCTGGAGCAAAGTGAAGAGCAGCACCCTGGGTGGAAAACACAGCTTCCCCCCTGGCATCAGTAAAGACTCTTAAACATTGAGCACATCCATAATATTTTTAAAAAATGCAAACGTTTTATGTAAAACACCTCTTCGACTACCAACAGAGGGTCCTATCTAGGCAATAAGTACAGATCTTTTTTAAAAAAAAAAAATCAAGTAAATGAACTGTTAAAACAATATTTAAAATATGCGTTAAAATATTTAATGCGTAACAAAATAGCTTACTAAAAACCATGAAGGTAGTTTCAGGTGGGTAGCCATGTTGGTCTGCAGTAGAAGAGCAGGATTCATCAGGTTTGATGAAGGGAGCTTTGCTGAAGCTCCGTACCCCGGGAGTCTTGTTGGGTCTGTAAGGTGCTCCTGGACTCGAATCGTGCTCTTTTACTAAAAACCACAATCCTGGCAATCCTAAAAATGCCACGTTCATAATATTATTACTACTTTCAACTAACTGCTGTTAATGGTGAATTTAGAATATGAAAAACACTCATATATTGGTATTTAATCTAATAAGCGATTAATTAAATAAATGTATTAGGAAAAACTCGTCCACCTCTTGCAAACAAGGCTGCTTATAACTGCAAATTAGAATGCACGGTCACCTTCCTGACTAAACTAACAGCCTCTTTGCTCGGTTCATATTTCATATGTACATGTAAGTTTTTTTTAACTTAAAAATGTAAAACAGCGAATGCAAGAAATATCTGGTGTGAACACACACAGTACACGTGTCACGGAATCCTGACCGGATGTAGCTTCCTACCGACCTTACACTCTGTAGCAAAACAAAGTTTGGTACTGCACAGTGTGTGAAAGAGTCCTTTTGAGTGTGCTTAGTTTAATGTTCAGAGCAACATAAACAGGTCTGAGGAACATATCACCATGAGCAGTATAGTTTCATACATTCGCTTCCTCACACCAAAAGCAACCACACAAATAATCCTAAATTTTCCAATTCTGTGTCCCTTTACTCGAAATCAAGTCCCATTGAGTTCAACGGATTAATTCAGGGCAGCCTCAAGAAAGCCCAGGGGGAAAACTCAGTGGTGCCAATGACTTGATTCTTGTGCGACTACTCAGAAGGCTTGTCACTTCTGCAGCTAGCTAAAGGTGACCAAAGGACAACAGAGGTAAGAAGGCATTAATCCTATGAAGAAAACTGCACTCAAATATGTGAAATTTTATTGGAGGGTTTTTTTTTAAAGCCTTAAAAGGATTGTTTTGTGTGTGTTCGTTCCAGTTTTCTTAGGAAAAATGTGATTAAACTTGTTGCTCAAACCTAATCACATTTTCTCCGAAGTAAGCATCAGTGACATCAATGAGACTCACTTCCAGGTCAATATGCTCATTGTTGGCTCTGTTAAGTATGAAGTCTAGCAACTCCTATCCCGTCAAGACCTTTGCATATGAAGCACTTGTACATGACGTACATAAGTGAGTTCCTCAATCTGTTCCCGCAATACATGAGGCCTTTCTTGCTTTTCTCCACTGTATGCAACAGGCTGTGCCCATAGCTGCAACCACCTTATGCTACCGACACTTTCAGCAAAAACAAAACCCCATGTGGATAAGTAGCCTTATCTAAATGATGAAGGAAATGAGTTTTCCCCATGTGGCAACATTCTGATAAGTGACTACTCATAACGTTTAGACAGCATACGCTGCCTCTGAGTCCCATACTGTAATGTCTCCTTGGATACTTCTGGACAGATCCAGTGTCCCTCTCCTTTCCATTTATAAATGGCAACCCTGCAATGGGCAAAAGTGATTTATCTGTCTTTTTTTTTTGGAGTCCAAAAAGTGCTTGTCCAATTGGCCTTCTGATTCAACCACAGCATTGTTTGACAGACTTTTATAATGTTTAGATCACGGCTAAGTTTTGCAGCCCTGATGTTCACTTCTCCGGGACCAAAGTCTTAGTGATTTAAGTGGAACACTTAGGAGCAAACAAGCATGAGGTTCAGGCAGACAGACACATTTACAGTAGTCCACTCCACCTGATCCTACGGCTCTTTACTGGGAAGCAAGTCCCACACTGAGTTTGGTGGACTGACTCCCTAGAATCCCCGGGCAGCCTTCAGGAGCTCAACAGTTAGGTCTGAAGCATCCCAACAACAGAACATGTGAAACTGTGCCCTATGCCAACACCACCCGGGCACGCATGTTTTAATCCGCAGAGCATCATCACTGTGAACAAAACTTCTAGCTCCCGAGGGCCAAGTTCCACTCTGCCTGCCTAAACTGCAGCCCAACAAACGCTGCAGCCGTGTGTGGCATATGAGCTAAGAAGTAGCCAAGGCTGGCTGGGGAGAAGAAAACAAAGTCAAAGCGAGGCAAAGAGGTGCCTGGGGAAGGGGGGGGGGGAATCGTCGGTTTCCTACCTTGTTCGAGGCCATTTCACTGACGGAGTGCCTGGTTTGCAAGGTTTCCAGCTGGTCCAGGCACCAGTCCAGCTCCTCCAGGGTCTCGCTGGCCAGTTTTTGGTAGGCCTCCTCTGCGAAGAGATAGGGAAAGGAGTACTCAGTTCGCAAGCGTTTCACGGGGCTAACAGCAAGCTCCAGCGGGTCCATCCTGCCGTACCCAGCCATGGGGGGATGCCCAGTGCCCACACATGAGTGCTGCTCCTTCATATTGCTAGAGCCAGGCAAGGGGGGGGCGGGAGGCGGGCTTGGGTCTCCGGCGGGAACCACGAAGTCGCCTCCAGCCTCCCGGGATCCCGTCTGGGCGAAGAAGCAACTTTCGGAGAGGAGAGGAGAGCAGGTGAGGCAAGCAGGACGGAGGCGCGCCTCTGCTCTCGGCGTGGAGCCGAGTCCCTCCCCCGGCTGGTCGCGCGCCCCGGGCTGGCGGGCTGGCAGGCAGAGGCGGCGGGCGCAAGCGGCCGCGACTCCTTGGCTGACCGGGGCTGCTGCTCTCTGGCGAGCAAGAGACTCTGGGCGACACGCAGCCAAGTGCTTTCCTCCCCCCGGGCTGGAGGCGAGGCGAGGCAAGCAGCGGCACGTCCTCCGCCTCCTCCTCCTCCTCCCCCCCCCCTTTGGGGAAGCTTCAAGCCCAATGAATCAGAGCGGCGG